GGCTGGGTACCCCTTCCTCCGTCGCGCTGTTAGCGAGTAGCAATGTCTTGGTTCCTTCTGATGAGAGGAGTGAGAGAGGTAGGGCTGGGCCTCAGGGGTTGTTGTTGGCATCGAAACACGTTCAGAGGATGACCTGGGACCTGTGAGGTGGGTGTGAGCGTTCTCTGGCTGGGAAGGGGCACTGAGGCGCGGGGGGCGTGTCCGTGAGGGGTCCCTTCAGTTGCGACCTAATAGGGTTTTTTCTCTTTCACTTGGCTAGAAGAGTCGGATTTGGTTTTTTTCTTTCGCGAAGGACTGCTCAGGGTTAAAACTATCTTCAAAATAAGCTTAAAGAAGAGCTTTTAATCAGATTTTTAGCAGGCATCGATATGCCTCAGTCTGTTTTGGTCATTGCTGTGGAAAAGAAATAGTTGTTTGTTTACCCAGCTCTCAAATAGCTTTACGATTATACTTTTTCTGGTAAATTCCATATTGAAGACCATAACTTTTCTGTGAAATGCTCCTCGTAGAAATCAATGTTTTTACATTAATTTGAAGGTTACTTTGTTACAGATAAATAACAGCAGTAGAGAGCTTCAGCAGAAATAGGAGTAGAGTCTAGATGATTGTAAGCACTGGGCAGGGTTGTGAGTATGAGTTAATGTACTGGGTAGGTGACATATTTCCGATGTAAACTTCCATCTTTTCTTCAAGGTTTCTGTTTCTTTAGTGATAAATGTCTGGCTAAAGTAAAATAGTAAAATGTGATGTAAATTAAGATATCCCACAGATTTTATCAGGTTAGTCTCTTTTTCGTCTCGTGTGGCTGGAGAGGGTGCAGTATTTCATATTGAAAGATATGCTAGGAAGTGTAAGAAATAACCCCCCACTGTACTTCGTTAGAAGCCCACTATGCCCAAGAGAGATACTGATTCTTCTTTTACTAAGTATTTTACAGTTAAGCCCTACAATTCAGTTACTGTTTCAGATAACCAAAATTTCTGATTTTTTTTTTTTGCCCCCCAGTGCTATGGGATATGCAGCACAGAGCACAAGAGTTCATTTTGACACTTGTTCATTAAAAATTTTCTAAATCAAATCCCTTGATACCTAGGTTTATCCGGATTTTGTTGTACGTGTATAGGAATACACTACAGATAAAAAGTTTTATGTCAGTGGGACCACACTGCATAATTGTGATGAAACACCATTCTCTAGCTACATCAAAAATGTTAAAGAACTATTAAAATTAATTAGGTTGTTATTTTATGGATCATTTTTTGAAATACATCACTTTCCATGCTAACAAAGTATTATAAACAATGTTAATTTGATGTGAAAATGCATCATTTTGCCTTCAAAAATACTTTTTCCTTCAAGTTCTACTGTAGTCTTATTTTTAGATGTTTTCTGTATAAATACCATTCTTTAATAAAGATGTTCATTAATAATGAGATAACAATGTTTTGCAGAACAACAGTACTTTGAAGTAGAAAAGCGCCTGGCTCAGAGTCAGGAGAGGCTTGTAAATGGGACACAGGAATGTCAAACTCTGCGTGAGGAGCTTAAAAAACTTCGTAAGTATAATGCACATTCTTAAGATTGGCCAGGATATTCGTTCTTTAGTCCAATGTTATGTTGAAATGCTTTAGGCTTTAAATAGGAGTTGAAAATCCATCCAACTACATTTTTTATTTCAGCAAGTAGAGTGATATTTTGCTTTTGTGTTTTCTTTAACAGGATTTTTATTCTAATGGAAAAAAACCCCTTGCTTTCTGTTTGTTGTAGTAATAGTAGTACAGTGAGTTGATTTTCACAATAAATGCTTCTGCTTTAAGGATTGCTACAATACTACCTAGTCCATCCATAGCATGGATTTTTTTAATGTTGTATTTTTAATGTTGGTAAGGGAAATTTTGGCATATATTGCATTTGGAGAGTGAATTCTGTTGTTACCTTACAGTGGGGATCCCTCACTACAATATCTTCTTATCCAACAGATGAACAGTTGAAATTATTGAACGAGAAAAATAAAGAGCTTGAAGCTGCTCAGGATCGTAATGCAGCCATTCAGGTACTGGAAGAAGTTGACGATAAGTTGAAAGACTTGGGTTCCCCTGTCTCATTGCAGCAACGAATGCGATCAATTTCCAAACTGGATGTATCAATATCAGTAGAAATATGTGCTGATGTACATATTTATGTGGCTGTATGTACAAGAAAATTTTTGGGCTTTTTTAAAGTAAATGCTGCTGCTTTAGCAGACTGAATTACAGGTGAACATGTCAGAGCAGATGCTTTTATTTCAGTTTGGATAGATTGTTTCATTCTATCTGAAACATGTTTTGAAGTGACTTTAGTCAAACCTCAAAAATTGGACAAAGGCGTAAAGAAGAGTTCTGGTTTGTCCTCCATCCTTTCCCATGCTCTGGCACAGTTGCTTTGTGCTTAAAAGTCATCGAATTGCAGGATGAGTCACTTCAGCTGACTTATCCAGTAGAACACTAATCTTGGAGCAGGAAGTGAAAACATTAGTTTTAGATTGATTTGTACACAGTGAGGAGATGGATCTGATTGCTTCCTCAGAGGGGCTTACCTGGTCCTGGCTGAAGTGGTTTGTATTGGCACATTAGAAAGCAGAGGCTGTAGTATGATCCAAGATTATCGATTTTTATTTGATTTTGATACTGATATTTTACATGTATTCATTCCTTGGTTACTCTGTTATCTTTTTTTGTAACCAAATAAACCTGTTCCATAGAATCATAGAATACTGGGTTGGAAGGGACCTCAAAGGTCACGTGGTTCAACCTTTCTTGGCAAAAGCACAGTCTAGATAAGAAGGCCCAGCACCCTGTCCAGCTGAATCTTAACAGTATCCAACATTGGGAATCCACCACTTCCCTGAGGAGATTATTCCAATGGCAGATTGTATTTCAGTGGACTCTTAACTGTTAAAGCTATATTTCAAAGAATATTAGGTTAGATGCAGTTTTGAACAGTTCCCGTTTCTTGTTTTGGATTTCTCTTAGGCCTTCAGTTTGTTTCATCTGCTCTAAGTTAAACAATTTTCTTTTCAGTCTTCATTCAAATACAGCTAGAACCAGAGTGAGTCTTGTGGTAGTCTCAACCTCTCTATGCCAATCGAAAAGCAAAGGCATGAAAACTGCCTATTCGGTATGCTGGTCTTGAAAGCTATGTGATACTTCTCTCATCTTTGCTAGTGGCATTCTCTCTTGCTTTGATATTGACATTTCACATTTAAACACAGAAGGGCAGCTGGACATTAGTATTGGTGATTTATGGGGGAAAAACCCCACATTAATTGAAATGTTTTGGCTATTAGGCACTAGAAGAAAGAGGTACATTAACCTGCATTTGTTTGAATTACATACCCCAACATGATAGAAAAATGGAAACAGCCATGCTTTCATAATTTATAGTTTAGACTGATTCAGCTACCCACTATGAAAGCCTTTTACCCCATTTTCAGTGGGTGGGGTAAATTACTGTGGTTTAGCATTTTTCTCTGTGATGGTAAGTATACGTAGTGACTATAAACTGTTAGTGAAAGCTGATCACATTTTTTATTGCTCTTTGCATTTTTTTTCAGAGCCATTTAAATAGAGAAAAAGAAGAACTGGAAGCTGAAAAGAGAGATTTGGTTCGAACAAGTGAAAGACGATCTCAAGAAGTTGAACATTTAAATGGTATAGCCAAGAACATATTAACAGAATAATTCACATGAGTTTGCTAAATAGAAGACAGTTGAACTGATATGGAGTACCTAGTTTGTATAGGCAGCCCCAAATAATGGATTAGCAGGAAACAGTATTTAGAGAAGGGGAAAGAAGGCAGGAAATTACATTCTAATTGTAGAAAAACGCAGCAGTTTGATGCTTGGTTTTGTAAGTATAAAAACATACATTATACAATATCTTATTGCTCAATATGCATTATAGCTTACCTATCCTCATTCTTTACAATTTGGATAAGCTGAGTAATTAAAACTGTTACACAATTAGCTCTTTCTAACACTGATTTCACTCCTCGCTCTTCCAGAGGATGTTAAACGCTTAAATGAAAAGCTTACAGAAGCAAACACAGAAAAGGTGAAACTTCAGTTGAAGTTGGATGAACTTCAAACATCAGATGTTTCCATGAAGGTGAGTTGTACTTAACATGCATAGTACATGTTAATGTTCTAATAAGTAGTTGTTTACTTGTGACATAATCATAATTTTGTCATTATTAAGTTTGAAAGTAGGTTGAGTGCACTCCTGTTATTTATAACAAATTTTATTATAAAACTGGTGGCTGTGTCTGGAAGAGAGACATATATTTATAGAAGGCAAGGGGGTATCAATTTGGGCAAGCATACCCAGGCCTCGTGGTTGGCAGTGGTGGCTCCTATCCACTAGGAAGGAGTCCAGGTCAATGAAGGCAGGTAGAAAGGAGAAAAGTAGTTATTTGTGAACCTCCACAATTTCTCTATGGTGAGAATAAACTCCATAAAGAGCTGAAAGTGAGGACGAAAGGAGAAAAGAGGAGACTTTGCTACCTTAATTTGTTTCCTCTATCTAGATATTAATCTAGTTCTCAGCTAATGTAAACTGTGAGAAAACTAACTCAAGCTTCAAGAAATTCTTGTAGTTTGATACTGGTAAATTAGTATTACCAATATAATAAGGAACATTGCTTGTCATTTTGTGGTATTTACCATATTACAGTACATTTTTGCTGCTCCTACTCTGATCATAGTTCTTTGATTAGCTGCTTATTTTCTGTGGAACTGATACAGTTACAGTGTACAATTTTCTTTTTAGTACCGTGAGAAAAGGTTGGAGCAAGAAAAAGAACATCTACAGAATCAGAATGCGTGGCTGAATACTCAATTGCAAGCCAAAACAGAGGAACTTCTACATACTGCCAGGGAGAAAGGCAATGAAATCTTGGAGCTTAAATGTAATCTGGAGAACAAGAAGGAGGAGGTAGGGTAATTACTGAGTGCTTTTGCCATTTCTTGGAAATTACAACTCCTGATTAACTGTATTAAACCTGAGTACTTCAACTTGAGTAAAAAAGTATGTTTTGTAGTTAATAGGGAGGTGTTCTTTCTTTTAATTTTTAAGGAATATGTATAGTTACCATTATCTAGAGTAGAAAATTCAAAGATTTTAATTATAAGCTAGGAATTTTGGAATCGCTGATAACAAAGCTATATAATGGTATAATGCTATTAAAACGTACAGGAGTACAGAGCAGAAGGATCTGACTCAACATTTTTTGTGGAGTGGGATGATATTTTTGTTTTCCTATGACAAAATACATGGCAGAGTCAGTGGCTGAGTTTTGAAAATACTCGGCTTTGATGAGATTCTGTTTGGGTACCTAAGCAGTTTCTTTAACAACTGACAATTGGGCAGGTTTTCTGTGGCATTTCAGCTTCACTGAGGCTCATGGGTTTATTTGGTTATGCACAATTAGAGCAATCTGGGAATTCTCACTTTTTCCTTTAGCATGGGAGAGCAATGTAAGGATTTATGTGCTTTCTGGAACATGTGAGGGTTTTGTTGTTTTTGTTTGAGTTTGTTGTTGGTTTTTTTGTTGTTGTTTGTTGTTTTTTTTTTAAGTAAAAAACAATGAGGTGGGCAATTTCCAAAATAAACTGGACTGGAAAGACAGATTTATACGTGATGTTCTCATTTATTCTTTGAACAGGTTTCCAGAATGGAGGAACAGGTAAACAGCTTAAAACAGTCACAGGAAAATCTTCAGAAGCAAGTGGAAGACCTTTTGAATAAACTGAAGGAGGTAAGACAACTTGAAGTATATGTGAAACACGTTACAGTTGCTTATACAAATTGCAAATTAAAAATCAAAATGTGTGAAATAGAAGGAGCTGAATGCTCACCCAACCTGTCTCTAATTTACTAGGCGAAAGAACAGCAAACTGGTATGGAGGAAAGATTCCATAGTGAACTGAATGCCCACATAAAATTATCAAATTTGTATAAGGTGAGTTTATTGATTCTAAGTGTATTATTACTAATACTTGGGGCTGAATCTTAGCATTAAGTGTAATGCAGGCCAGTTTTGGTTTTGTTGGGTTTTTTCCCCCAGGAAGTGTGGACATGGGGAAGACATTCGAAAACATTGTGAAACATCCAGAAGTTTTTCTTTGCCACTGTCTTAGGCACTGTTGGAAATCTTGCATTGCTTGGATCATTTTGTAGATAAAGCAAAACAAGTAACATTATGCTCACTGTTTTGAGGCGAGATGTTGTATTAATGTGGTCATGTCTTATGATGTTGTGTTGGGAGATAAAGGTTTGTATGTAAAACACAACTATGCAGGAGGTTTTTCTGAGTTTGGTTAGTGGAAGTTGATTTCAAATAATGCTGTGGGTGTTAGTGGTCTGATTATGGCACAGCTAAATGTCACGTATTGTGGCAAACAAGCACCATCTAAACAAATAATTTTTGTTAGTTTTGTTAGCTCAAAGAGTGGAAAATACCCTGTAGCATATTGACTAAGAAAAAGTCAGCTAAAGAGGAAAACTAAGTGCTCTTTAGTTTACACAGATTCATAGGTTAATGAGTTTTGTCTCCTGGTTGTTTTTGCTTAAGTACCCACATAAACATTGTACCCTCCTGTCCTGGGTTCAGCTACAGCAGTC